GGAGTGTCAGTGTTTAATTATCAGGCTTGTTTAAGGATTTTTTTTTTTTTTTTGCTCCGAATGCCTTCAGGGCAGGTTTGGCAGGCTTGAGTTGTGGGGATGGAACCACAGCAACCTGAGCCTGACTGCTTTGTTGAAGCAGCCACTTAAAGAACTGAGCTAAGGGGCAGGCCTCCCAGGCTTGTTTAAGTTGGTAAAAGTTGGTGTATTCTCCACCTAGCTATACACACTTGTGCTACATGACCAGATTTGTTTTACTTAGAACCTAGAATAATGTAGGCCTCTAGATTTCAGTAGTGTAAAAAAACCTAGTAAGTTATACATACTTAAGATCTTTTATAACTTTTTCCTTTTAAGAGCTTATAGTTAAACACATTTGAACCCAAGTTATTTGTCTGAAATACAAGTCAAATTATATTAACTCCATCTGAAGGCATTTCTGATTTTTGTTGTTATCTATAAAATCTGATATGTCAGTTAATGCCAAATCACTGTAACAGTATTGTTTATTTTCACATTAGTTATATTTGTATCTCTAGACATTAAATTAATAGAAATGAATCCTTAATAGTACGAGTTTCTCCACATTGCTATTTCTGTAGAAAGATTTTTTTCTTCCTAGAAGAAATATGTTTTGAAAGGGAGCATGGGGCTGGGGAGATAGCTCAATAGAATAAGCCAAGTGCAGGGTCCTGAGTTCAATCCCCAGTACCGCAAAAAAGAAAGAAAGAAAATGAGCATAATTCTATAGTCTTATTGACTATGTACACTGCTTCATGTTAATAAATACGCATACTCTTGCAAACTTATGTTTTAAAGTAGAAAACAAAATGAAGTGTTAGTTTTAGTGCCTGATAAACCTTTCATATTATATAATTATATTGACACTAGCAAAATGTCATGTTTTTCTGTATCACAGTCTTTTTTCTTCATACAGTTTTGATACTCTTTTCTTGGGGGGTAGCAGGAATTGAACTCAGGAGGATGTCGTACTTGGAAGGTAGGCACTGTATCACTGAGCTAAGACTCTGGCCCAGATACGATTCTAATTTAACTGTGAAAAAAATAACTGGTAGGATTTACAATAAGAGAAAGTAAATTTCATTTAAATTAAGATGCACATTTATTTTCCTATTCATAATTTAAGTACTCTGTCTTAAGCAATATGGACAGAATCTGCAAAAGCAAGTATTTTAAGTTTCATATATCCATTAATTTAAAAATGAACTTCTTTTTTAATTGGTAAATCTCAATAGTACACATTTTCTATTTCTGGGCTCTAATAGACTCAAAAATTAAGCTTCCATCGTGCTGAGGCATAGGGAGTGTTAAATATAAGCTGTCTGAAATCACTAATTGACAGATAACTGGAATTTTTCGCAAACTTTGTAATAGAGTAAAAAGAAACAATATCAATTGCTTGTAGTATTGATTTCTTAAGAGATGTAGGAAGGGAAACATAATAGAGAAAGAAAGTCTTTGACTTCTAGGAATTTTTTCTTTTCTTTTGCTTTTGATGTTTTGGCAGGGAAGTTGTTTTCTTTTTGTAGTGCTAGTGGTAATTCACATTACCTAGGCAAACTAACACTGGGTTATATTTGAAAGAAAAAAAATGCTTTGTTCTTCTGATTGGTGGAGAGTAAAGTCTGAGATCCCTGGAGGGGAGCCTAAAGGAGCAGCAGAGGGATCCTACCTAGGAAGCTGTCCCTGGAGAGTGCTCTCCTCCTCAGTGTGTCTTGCTCTTTGGTGTCTACACTTCAGCATGGACAGAGTTCAGGATTCTTCTGTGCACTCAGGAATTTGGAGTGCTGCTTTCTATTTATGAGATGGTTCTCTGTCAGTCAAGTGAATATCACATTGTTAAAAGTGAACAAAGGGTACTTCTGAGGTACTCAAGTCTTTTGTCCTGAGAACAAAATAAAGGAGATCTGGCTTGATTTGTAAATTGTAAAAGAGGCCATGTGTTAATTTTGTTTTTTCTGGAGGAAAAATATAGTCACCTTCCTTGGATAGTTCGTTTAGCATGTAGAAAAATTGCTGGTTTTTTTATGATTATGGCATCTTTATTTTTCTTTTAGGGGGAGGTTTGTTTTGGTTTTTGGTTTGAGACAGGGTCTCAATATGTTGTTGAGGCTGGCCTTGAACCCACTAGATAGTCCAGGCTGGCCTTGAATTTGTGGCAGTCCTCCTGCCTCAGCCTGCCAAGTGCTGGGATTGCAGGTTTGTACCATCACACCTGGGCTCAGCTTTCATTCTTTAGAAATCATTGTCTTTTATCTCTCCCTTCTCTCTTTGTAATCATGTGAATATATAAAATAATTTTAATCACAGATTTGGCCATAAGAGTATTGGCTGCATAAAGAGAGATATCTGAAATTTGCATAACTTAATAACATTGTCTTTTGGGGGAACATTTAATACCTCTGTGACAGTGGTATGTGTTAATGCCCTACCAGCCAACATCTTTTTTTTTTTTTCCAAAATTTTATTGATAGACAGATAGCAATGAGACAGTTTCTTTTTTCTTTTCTTTTTTTTTTTT